ATATACAGACAGCCAATAAGCACATGAAAAGTTGCTCAACATCATTAGTCATTAGGGAGATGCAAATTAAACCACAGTGAGATACCACTTCACATCCACTAGGCTGGCTATTAAAGAAAACACACACATGCACACACACACACACACACACACACACACACACAGAGATAATAACAAGCATTGTCAAGGATGTGTAGGAATTAGAGCCCTCATACATTGGTTCCTCAACAAGTTAAACACAGAGCTACCATGTTGTTGTTGTTAGGTGCCGTTGAGTTGGTTCCGACTCACAGCAACCCTAGGTATAACAGAATGAAACACTACACCGTCCTGCACCATCCTCACAATCGTTGTTATACTTGAGCCAATTGTTGCAGCCACTATGTCAATCCATCTCGTTAAGAGTCTTCCTCTTTTTCTTGACCCTCTACTTTACCAAGCATGATGTCCTTCTCCAGGGACTGATCCCTCCTGATAACACGTCCAGAGTATGTGAGATGAAGTCTTGCCTTGCTTCTAATGAGCATTCTGGCTGTACTTTTTCAAAGACAGATTTGTTCATTCTTCTGGCAGCCCATGATATATTCAGTATTCTTCGCCAACACCATAGTTCAAAGGCATCAATTCTTCTTTGATCTTCCTTATTCATTGTCCAGCTTTTGGATGCATATGAGGCAATTGAAAACAGCATGGCTTGGGTCAGGCGAACCTTAGTCCTTAAAGTGACATCTTTGCTTTTTAACACTTTAAAGAGGTCTTTTGCAGCAGATTTGCCCAATGCAATGCATCGTTTGATTTCTTGACTGCTGCTTCCATGGGCATTGATAGTTGATCCAAGTAAAATGAAATCATTAACAACTTTAATCTTTTCTCCATTTATCATGATGTTCCTTATTGGTCCAGTTGTGAGGAGTTTTATTTTCTTTATGTTTGAGGTGTAACCCATACTGAAGGCTGTAGTCTTTAATCTTCATCAGTGCTTCAGGTCTCCATTTTCAGCAAGCAAGGCTGTCATCTGCATAACGCAGGTTGTTAATGAGTCTTTCTCCAATCCTGATGCCGTGTTCTTCTTCATATTGTCCAGCTTCTCAGATTATTTGCTCAGCATACAGATTGAGTAAGTATGGTGAAAGGATACAACTCTGACACACACCTTTTCTGACTTTAAACCACGCAGTATCCCCTTATTCTGTTCGAATGACTGCCTCTTGTTCTATGTACTGGTTCCTCATGAGCACAATTAAGTGTTCTGGAATTCCTATTCTTCGCAATGTTATCCATAATTGCTTATGATTTGCACAGTCGAATGCCTTTGCATAGTCAGTAAAACACAAGTAAATATCTTTCTGGTATTCTCTGCTTTCAGCCAAGATCCATCTGACCTCAGCAATGATATTCCTTGTTTCACATTCTCTTCTGAATCCAGCTTGAACTTCTGGCAGTTTCCTGTCAATGTACTGCTGCAACTGCTTTTGAATGATCTTGAGCAAAATTTTACTTGTTTGGAATGGGCACAAATATGGATCTCTTCCAGTTGGTTGGCCAGGTAGCTGTCTTCCAAATTTCTTGGCCTAGACGAGCTGCATCCGTTTGTTGAAACATCTCAATTGGTATTCTGTCAATGCCTGGAGCCTTGTTTTTCGTCAGTGCCTTCAGTGAAGCTTGGACTTCTTCCTTCAGTACCATCGGTTCTTGATCATGTGCTACCTCCTGAAATGGTTGAATGTTGATCAATTCTTTTTGGTACAGTGACTCTGTATATTCCTTCCATCTTCTTTTGATGCTTCCTTTGTCGTTTAGTATTTTCCCCACAGAATCCTTCAATATTACAACTCGAGGCTTGAAGTTTTTCTTTAGTTCTTTTGCTTGAGAAATGCTGAGCTAGCATATAACCTCGCTGTTTCACTCATAGGTATATGCCCAAACGCATTGAAAATAAATGTCCACACAAAATTTTGTACATGAATGTTCACAGCATCCTTCTTCATGTTGTTGCTGCTGTTTATTGCCATCAAGTCGATTCTAACTCATGGCCAGCCCCTGTATTACAGAGTAGAATTGCTCCATAGGGTTTTCAGTATACTTTTGGAAGCAGATCACCAGGCCTGTCTTCCGAGGCTCCTGGGGCGGGTTCGAACTGCCAACCTTTTGGCTAGTAGTTGAGTAGTTAACCATTTTTACTATACAGGGAACCTACCTTCTTCGTAATAGCCAATAAGTGGAAACAACCCAAATGTCCATCAACTGATGAATGTATAAACAAAATGTGGTATATTCATACAATCTAATATTATTTATTCATAAAAAGTAATGAAGTATAGATACATGCTACAATGTGGATGAAACTTGAAAACATTATGCTATGTTAAAGAAGCCAGAGACAAAACCATTTATATGAAATGTCCAGAATAGGCCAATCCATAGAGACAGAAAGTACATTTGTGTTTGCCACGGGCTTCGGGGTGCAGAGAATGGGGAATGACTTCTAATGGATGTGAGGTTTCTGTGGACTTGATGGAAATATTCTGGAATTAGATAATGGTGATGGTTGGACAATTTTGTCAATATAGTTAAACCACTGAATTGTACAATTTTTAAAAGGGTTAATTTCATATGTAAATTATATCTCAGTAAAGCTGTTACTTAGAAAAATGGTAGTGGAGGAAAAAGTGATACACAGAACTTTATCTGATCCTAGAGAAGTCACTGAAATTTATTGGCTCATTTGCCTTCTTCAAATAATTGTCTCTTTAAGTAGATTCAGCAGCTGGAGGAGCAGTTTTCCTTACTCTTTATCATTTGTGTGAAAATCTCCACTCCTTTGTTTTGGTATCTGAGCTGGGTCTAGGATTATAGACCTACTTGATTTTTATTCACAAGGTGCTCCTGTTACTTATAAGCCTCCTGAGTATTGTTCCTCCCATGATCATTTGGGCAATATTTGACTATATGGACTGAGTCAGATAGATCTGTATATTGTATGCCCTTGGACAAGTTAGTTCATCTTACTTGAACCTTATTTTCCTTATCTGTAAATTCAGATTAACAAATATCTACTTCTCAGGGATGTGAAAACTAAATAAGGTAATGAGTTTTAAGTACCTAGCACAGTGCCTCGCCTGATGTAGGCCTCAGTTAATGTTAGCTTCCTCCCTGCTGCTTTCCCTCCTTTAAAAAAAAATTACTCTGGGAAAAAGTACATTCCTCATAGATCAGAGGTTACTCAGCTCTGTCCTGGCTTCCTGCCCAGCAACAGTTTGTCTGTAGAAATAAACCATCGGTGAGGTATTTTCCCTTTTTCTTTTTCTCTATGTGTCCCCTGCTGTGCATTTGCTAGTACCTGGCACATTGTGGGTGTTCAGTGAGTTTCGATTTCCCATGAGAGAACACAAGCCCTTCACAAGGATTTCCCAGCATGGTGCTGAGAGAATTGCAGAGTGTCAGCATTATTTTGTGACAAATGAGCATTGTTAGTGTTCCTTTGGAGGCTGTATGACTTTCAGTTGTGCTGAGAGGCAGAGAGTTTAATTAAGTTTCATATTGGAGGAAAGTGATGGCTGAGCCTTCCGCCATAAAGCCTTTCAGTTCTCTCTTTCCAGCTAAACCTTGAAAGATTTTTTTCCCATCTTTAGCATCAGCAATTTTTTGTTAATTTTGTTATTGTTGAGAATATACACAGCAAAATCTGCACCAAATCAACAGTTTCTACATGTACAAGTTAGTGACACTGATTACATTATTAGAGTTCTGCAACCATTCTCACTCTCCTTTTCCAAGTTGTTTCTCTCCCATAACATAAACTCACTGCCCCCTAAGTTTCCTATCTAATCTTTTGAGTTGCTGTTGTCACTTTGATCCCATACAGATAGTTCTTAAAAGAGCATAATGCTCAAGGCAGACATTTTTACTAGTTAAGCTAAACTATCGTTTGGTTTTAAGAAGACTTCAGGGGATATTTTTGGTTTAAGGTTTAAAGATTATCTCAGGCAATAGTTTCAGGAGTTCATCCAGCCACCATGGCTCCAGAAAGTCTGGAGTCTGTGAGAATTTGAAATTCTATTCTGCATTTTCTCCCTTTTGGTCAAGATTCTTCTGTAGAATCTTTGATCAAAATGTTCAGTAATGGTAGCCAGGCACCATCCAGTTCTTCTGGTCTCATGGCAAAGGAGGCAGTTGTTCATGGAAGCAATTAGCCACACATTCCATATCCTCCTCCCGTTCCAGACTCTCCTTCTTCCTCTGTTGCTCCAAGTGAATAGAGACCAATTGCCATGCCTTAAATGGCAACTTGCAAGCTTTTAAGACCCCAGGCACTATGCAACAAAACAGGAGGCAGAACAGAAGCACTAAACACGTTATTAGAACAACTAACTGAGATGTCCATGAAACCATGACCCTAAACCTCCAAACCAATGAACCAAAACCCATGAGGTTTTTGCCTGTACATAAGCAGCAGCTACTTTTTTTTTGTGATGTTGTTGTTAATATCAGTTCTTAATATGTAGTAATGAAATGCTTAAACACCACCAAAGAACTGATCATTCACACAGGTAGCCCCGGGCTCCTATTACCTTGAAAATGTTTTACTTAATTATTAGGGTGTCTAAATACATAGTAGATCCACCTTTTCAAGTCGTATATTTAGTTCACCCCGTGTTCCTTATTTTTTTAAATTTAATTTGAAAGATTGGTGAAAAATACTGGAGAGACCGAAGGTACCTGGCATTCGAGGCCCTTTTTAAGTGTCATTGTCTGTCACATAGACTTCAGTTTTATCCAGATCAGTTGCCCTTTGTGTAGGCAGGATGGTTTGGGGTTATATTCAAGGAAATTGAAACTGTTGAGACCAATGCAAAAGCAAATCCTCTCTTGCTCTCCCCGCTCCCAGGAGCTAGAGAGATTGGCCACAGGGAACATGACACTGTCTTATCCTTTCTCAGTTTTGATTAGACAGTTAAAACTATAGACATCTTAATCTGCACCTTCTGTCCCATGTCTAGGAGCGGAAAAAAAAATTTGAAAAGGATGGTGAGAGGTTTTATTCTTTACTGGACCGCCACTTGCATCTATCTTCCAAAAAGAAAGAAGCCCAGTTACAAGAGGTATGTTCAAAAAGCCTGTCCTTTTCTCTTCCGTTGCCTGCTATGCCTTGGAAAGAGTGGCAGTTTCCTATTGTAAGGCTTTTCCCATATTTTGTCTCAGTGGCGAACCACGTATGATAGCACATGCAGTTAAAACCATTGTGTAGGACTCAGGAGCCCTGGGTTCTCAAGCCAGCTCCTTCACTAACTCACTAACTCACGATGTGACCATGGACAAGATATTCTTTCTTGACCTCCGTTCCATTGTCTTTAAGAGGAAGGGGTAGAACTCAATGACCTCCAGAGTACCTTTCAGTTCTTCAGACCTCTGATTCTAGATTCCACATGTGGATACAGTTAAACTAGTGTTTTATTTGGTAGATCAGGAACTGCTCTTCTGCTTTTTACCCCTGAGATATCCCAGCATTAGCTTTTGTTTTGTGTTTTATTCCTGCACTGGATTACAGCACGCCATTGGCGGTGGCTTCAGTTCAAATAAACCAGTATTTGGTGAGTGCTGACCGTATGCCCACATGCTATGCTGGGTGTAGCAGGACTACAGAGACAGTGAGACATGCATTCTGCTTTTTGCAGCTTATAGTCCAGTTGAGATGATAATATGAGGATATAGATGACTCTTCTACAAGTAAAATTTTTTATATACTGTAAGTATATGTGGTGCTCTTGTCAGTAGTGGAGATGAGTTTGGAGAACAGAAAACTTATATTTGGATGTGGGAGAATGCCTTTGTGGCAGAATCTGCCTCTCCAATTTGATCAGGTCATTGAAGAATAAAGTGTATGACAAGTAGAAGTGAGGAAATTGACCTTTTAAGTGGAGGACAATAACTCCAAGGAGGGAGAACAAAGAATACATCTGGGAAATGTTTGGCCATAATCATGTTACTATCAAAGGGTAGCGAAAGACAAGATGGGATCAGGCAGGTTGAGGCCATACTGTGGAGTGCTAGGCTCAGGAGTTTGTATTTAATTCTGGTGGATCTGGCGGATCACTGAAGGCTTTTTGAGCATGGAAGTGATGTGATTAAAACTCTATTTTAGGAATCTTCAACTGGCTGAGGCTGTAGGACGACTTAGACCAGGGAGAGACTAGAAGGAGGTCAACCGGTTTAGGAAACTATTGCAATGATCTGTTGTTGTTGTCGGGTACCATCGAGGCTATTTCTACTCTGTGACAGAATAGAACTGCCCCACAGGGTTTTATTGGCTGTAATCTTTATGGAAGCAAATTGCCAGGTCTTTCTCCCACAGTGCTGCTGAGTTGGTTCGAACCAACCAACTGTAAAATCTGTAAAATCTCTATGGAAGCACACTGCCATGCCTTTCTCCTAGTTAGCAGCTGAGCACTTAACCATTGTGCCACCAGGGCACCTTTTCAATGACCTAGGGGAGAAATAATGAGAGTCTGGAACAGAAGAGCCATGCTGGGGATAGGAACGAAGGAATTAACTGGTGAAGAATCTAGTAAAAGATGGAAATATTCAAGATTCGACTATGAAAAGAGATACCTGATGGAATAATCATAGACATCGTCTGTAAATATTCTTAGAAACCATGTTGTCCAAGGTCACACAGATTGTAGCAGAGCTGGAGCTTATCCTCTAACCCTTGGTTTAGTGGGTTCCCATCACATCAGGTGCTTGAAGGTGATGGGTCAAGAGCCTCACTGGTGGATGAAGTTAGTACTGAAAATGAGGAGGGCTATTTCTTGTTCATAAACTACAATGAAGTACTAGCTCTGGGGTCTTCTGCCATTTTCTTTTTGCACATCTTTGTTTCCCTCCTTTTCTGTCTATTCTGTGCCTGGGTTCCCGTGAAGAAGAGTTAACATAGCAGGCCTAAGACTGCTATCCTTAGAAAGGCCTGCTTACAAAATTGGATTTTGGCTGGTGTCTAGAAGCTTGGCTGGTAAACAGTTCCTTACACTGATGTAAATGTTTCTCTAAATGGTCAAGAGTGGCTCACTTTGCCTAGACTGTTTGTACAAACAATGTGGTTTATGCTGAGTAATTTCTTTCTTCCTGGGAGTCTGGAATTTTTGTATGTGCTAGGCAGAGAGTGCCTACATGACTCCAAACCCACTGCTGTCAAGTTGATTCCAACTCATAGCGACCACATAGGGTTTCTAAGGCTGTAAAATCTCTACGGAAGCACACTGCCATGCCTTTCTCCCGTGGAGCCGCTGGTGGTTTCGAACCAGTGACCTTTCAGTTAGCAGTCGATCGCTTTAACCACTGCACCACCAGGGCTTCTTCCTACATAACTAGCCCCCAATAAAATCTTGAACACTCAGTATCTGATGAGTTTTCCTTGTAGACAACATTTCACACGTGTTGTCACAACTTACTGCTGCAGGATTTAAGTGTGTCCTCTGTGACTCCACTGGGAGGACTCTTGGAAGCTTAAACCTGTTTTCCTCTGGACTTCATCCCACGCACCTTTCCCTTTACTGATTTTGCTTTGCATCACATCACTGTAATAAATTTTAGCCATGAGTTTGTATGCAGAGTCCTGTGAGTCCTCTGAGTGAATTACCAAAATTTGAGGTTGTCTTGGGGACCCCTGACACAGTTCTAAACTTTATTTTCTTTTGTAGGCTTTTGCTGTGAAAGCTTCTGGAAGGTCCTAGCAGTTTAGTGCTGTATGTAGATGTCCCTGGTATCTTTCCTGATGAGCAAAAAGGCAGCCTTTGCACCTGTTGAATCAAGAATGAGCTTGGTAGTCTTGGGTCCATACCTTTTTATCTCTTGCCTTCTGTAAAATAATGGACTAGGACCACTACTTGGTGGCTAAATTCTGCTCTAGCTCTAACATTTTCTTGAGTCTATAAGCACTGACTTGCATGAACCACTTTGCCTATGTGTGACGTTTCTTGCCCTTCTTCTACAGGCAGACCTCCAGGTGGACAAGGAGAGACACAATTTCTTTGAGTCCTCTCTTGATTATGTTTATCAAATCCAAGAAGTTCAGGAGTCCAAGAAGTTCAATATTGTGGAGCCAGTAAGTTCTATCTGTTAACGAATGGTCTAAAAATACTTGCGAAATGCCAGCTAAAAATACTTAACCAAATGCAGAGTTCATATGGAAACCTTGGCCATGAAATTGCAATCTCAAAGAATGTGACCAATCATCAATGTTTAATAATGAATGTCAAGAAAGTAGGCATACTGAATCTCATGGCTTACGTTTCCCACTAATTTTCTCTTCCCTTCTCCATTTTCTGTATGACTTTTTTCTTTCTTCCTCTTTTTTTTCCTCCCTCTCTCCCTGCCATTAGCTGTCACCCTTTGTTTTACCTCTTTCCCCTCCTTGCATTTCTCTCTTACTTTTAGAAAACTTTCTGAAAGTATGCATCATATACTAGGCACTATGCTAGGAACTCATGGACTTGACATTCAATGACTTCCCATTCTACTATTTTTACTTCTATCATCTGTAATTATTTCAACTTAAACCTCCTTAATTTATTAAAAAGATGATGTACTTTAATTTGACAAGTATGTTGAATTTAAGAACTTTTTTATTGTAAATATAATTATTGCAGAAAATTTTGAAAAAATTATAGGAATAGTGAAACAAAAAACAAATCCCCTATACAGAGACAATCACTGTTAATATTATAGCACATTTCCTTCCAAATTATGTGTCTGCCATCTCTTCCTCTGGATGTGTGTGTACATGTGTTCATGTGTGTGTGCATGTATATATTGTACATGATCGTGTATATATGTGTACATGTGTATCTGCTCTCACATTTGTATATATGTATCTGTGTATGTATATGAGCAAACAAGTATTTATACATTCCTTCAACAAACATTTACTGAGTTCTCATTATGTACCAGGCACTGTGCTAGACACTGGAGATCCTGTAGTGAACAAGACAGATTCAGTTTCTGTCTTAATGAAGCCTACACTCTTGTGGAATAGACAGATGAGGAAAAAGGGCACAGATAAATAAAATAATTGAAGGTTGTGAAAAGGACTATGGAGGAAACCAAAAGGGACTAAAATAAAGAAAAAGAATGGACAGTTACTTTAGATCAGGTGGTCAAGGAGGACCTATGAGGAGATGACGGAGCCCTGGTGGCACAGTGTTTAAGAACTCAGCTGCTAACTAAAAGGTCGGCAGTTCGAATCCACCAGCCGCTCCTTTAAAACTTATGGGGCAGTGACATTTAATCTTAAATCTAAAGGAAGAGAAGAAGCAGGCATATGAATAGTGGGGAAAGAACAGGAAGAGGAAACACGCACAGGCCTTAAGATAGGAAATAACAGTATACTCAAGGAATGAAAAGAAGACTAGTAGTGTCTTTAGATACCAGTGAGAGAAAGGAAGAGTGGCAGGAGATGATGTCTGATAGGCAGGCATAGGACCCGTAGGCATGGCAAGGAGTTTAGATTTTAGTCTAAGTGCAGTGGAAAACCACTGAAGGTGTTGTTATGGATTGAATTGTGTCCCCCTAAAATGTGTGTCAATGTGGCTAGGCCATGATTCCCAGTATTGTGTGGTTGTCCTCCATTTTGTTATCTTATGTAATTATCCTATGTGTTGTAAATCCTAATCTATATGATGTTAATGAGGCAGGATTAGAGGCAGTTATGTTAATGAGGCAGGACACAATCTATAGGATTAGGTTGTATCTTGAATCAATCTCTTTTGAGATATAAAAGAGAGAAGAGAGCAGAGAGAAGAGGGACCTTATTACCACCAAACAAGAAGAGCCAGGAGCAGAGTGTGTTCTTTGGATCTGGGGTCCCCGTACTGAGAAGCTCCTAGACCACGGGAAGATTGATGACAAGGACCTTCCCCCAGAGCCAACAGAGAGAGAAAGCCTTTCCCTACAGTTGGCACCCCGAATTCAGACTTTTAGCCTCCTAGGCTATGAGAGAATAAATTTCTGTTTGTTAAAGCCATCCACTTGTGGTATTTCTGTTATAGCGGCACTAGATAACTAAGATAGGTCTCAAACAGGGTATGACATGAGCCAGTTTGTGTTATGTGGAGAATGGCTTGGAAGGGGCCAAAAGTGGAGGTGAGGAAACCAATTAGGCATCTAATGCAGTGATCCAGGCAAGAGAAGATGTTGGCTTCGTTTAGGGTGGTGATAGTGGAAACAGAAAAGTATGGCTGGATTAGAGATATATTTTGGAGACAAAACTGACAGGAATTATTGATGGGTTGGATTAGGTTATGTATATATATGCAGTACATGCACATGCATGCATATAGGTACATGTTTTTTGTATATGTATGTGTATCAACACACATACATATATATACACTTTGTGTTTATGTGTGTGTGTCTGTGTGTGTGTGTCTGTGTGTGTGTAGATAGAGAGGGAGAACCAAAAAACCAAACCCATTACCATCAAGTCGATTCCAACTCATAGTGGCCCTATAGGACAGAGTAGAACTGCCCCATAGGGTTTCCAAGGAGAGGCTGGTGGATTCAAACTGTTGAACTTTTGGTTAGCAGCCTGAGCTCTTAACCAGTGCTCCAGAGAGAGAGAATGCACATGTTTATATGGTTTATATATGCTCACCTATTTGCTTTGTAGAAAGACTAGAGCAATTTTTACTACTACCTATTAACATTTTGTAGTCCCTGGGTGGTGTAAAGGGTTAAGTGTTCGACCACTGACTGAAAGGTTGGTGTGGTTCAAGTTCACCCAGAGGTGCCTCAGAAGAAAGGCCTGGTGACCTACTTCTGAAAGGTCACAGCCATCAAGAATCCTGTGGAGCACAGTTCTACTTTGAAACACATAGGATTGCCATGAGTCAGAATCAACTTGACAGTAACTGGTTATTACATTTTACCTTTGCCGGCATTGAGTATTATTTTTTAAAATATTTGTAATTTGATAGATGAAAATAGTATTTTTTTATTTGTGTATTTGATGTCTGAGGTTGAACATTTTGTACTTTACAAGTATTTTATTGATCATTTGTATGTCTTCACCCCAAAATATTGCTAATATGAAAATTGGTCTAGACTTCTTTGATCTTTTAGCATTATGGCAGTCTTCATTAAGGTACAGAATCTCACTTCATTCATTTATCCATTTACTTATCCATTTATTTTTAACATTTATTGATCACCTACTGCCAGTGCTGAGGATAGAGAGAAAAGACACAGTCCATTAACTTAATGCCCAAATTATGAATGGCTTTGCATGCTGTCTGAACAGGATCTGGATGAACAAATTTGTTAGTAGTTCTTATTTTTTTAAACCAAGTCCAGTGAAAATGTTTAACCTAATATGAGAATAGCTATTGTGGACCTGTTTGTGTTTGCATGAGTGCTTTTAACACTGTACTGGGTAAACACTGTGTGGAGTTTTATTTCTGTGCTCATGTTTCCTTTATTTGATTAATAAGAAGGTGCCGTGTTAAAGTTATTTTTACACATTTTCCCTAGGTTTTGGCTTTTCTTCACAGCCTCTTCATTTCCAACAGCCTGACTGTGGAGCTCACACAGGACTTCCTCCCATACAAACAACAGCTCCAGCTCAGCTTGCAGAATGTGAGTTTGCATGTGGATTTCCCTTTCTCTCTCTCCATTCAAATTAAATTTAAGCCTCAGTGATCTTGCCCTTGGAATTCTAGGTTATTGCATCCCAGCTATCTTGTCAGGACACAATGGTGTGAATCACAAATATTTCAGCGTATTGGACTGTTCTTGCTCTTCTAGTTTCAATTCTTCCCTGTCTTTGAGGCAGAGTACTCTCTGTCCTAGCCCACCTGTCCACCCACCAACACATCCATCTATCCAGTATTTAGTAAATGTTGCTAATTTGCATCTCTTCCAGGCAGTAACCCATCTATGGGCTTGTTTAAACATAGGTTTTATGCTACTTCCTTCCTGGTCAGTTAAGACACTCTCATTGTGGGTCTTATTAATATGAATGCCCATTTTCCTGTATTTCTTTTTTCTTTTTTTACTAATTTTTGCTGTTGTTAGTTGCCGTTGAGTTAACCCCACCTCATGGCGACCCTATATACAAGAGGATGAAATGCTGTCCAGTCCTGTGCCATCTTCATGATTGTTGGTATGCTTGAGTCCATTATTGTGGCCACTGTGTATTTTGAGTGCCTCCCAACCTAAGGGGCTCATCTTCCATCACTTTATCAGACAGTGTTCTGTTGTGATCCGTGGAGTTAGCATTGGCTAATTTTCAGAAGTAGATTGCCAGGCCTTTCTTCTCAGTCTGTCTTAGTCTGGAAGCTCCACTGAAACCTGTTCACCATGGGTGACCCTGCTGGTATTTGAAATTCTGGTGGCACAGCTTCCAGCATCACAGCAGCATGCAAGCCACCACAGTACAACAAATTGACAGATGGGTGGTGGTACTTTTTATTAGAGTTAAATAAATTATTTTTAAAGCCTTTCTCTACTTTCTTTCCCAGGCTGTTTCTTATTGATGGACATAGGCACAGTCTTGTCATACTTGTCATGTGTATTACTTTGCTCATCAACTTTTTAACTCATGTTTGATGAATGTTTATGAATATAATGAACATACTCTTTATAAATCATTGTGAAAGGTATTAGACATATAGTAATTAGGCATGTAAGTTTTCTGTCCTGAAGGGACATAGAGTCTCTTGAAGGACAGAGATGTAAACACAGTTAAATCATAATCCCTTGTAATTTCTAGAGTAGTGTCAAGTCCAAAATTTTTTAAGAAGTGCAGAGGATGGAACAATTGACTGCCTGGTGGAGTTAGAAAAGGCATCACTGAGGTAGTGACTTTGAACTGGGTCTTATGTTGCATGAAATATTAAAAAAGGATTATTATATGAAAAAAGTTGGTAAGTAGTAGTGGAAATATCCCTCACTTGTTTGTTTATAAGGATCCTGACTTACAGTTGTTGTTATTGTTGTTTTCGTGGATTGTGAGAGTGCCTGTCTTCCACTGATATCCTGTGAATTCTTTTACATCCAGATTAATCACTTGAAATTCCTCCAAACATAACTTGACAAGTACAAGTTTAACAACAAGCCTATGTATATATACATATGGCTGACTCATTTACAGGATCATAGATCTATAGAGTGGGCCCAATCAGATAGGGCAGCCCAGATCACCCTTTTTACTGATATCATGTCATGGCTTTGAGATTGAACACTAAGAGGCCTATCTCTAGTGATTCTCATGCTGACATTTCAAGCTGTGTCTTGTGTTTCAGTTGTGTAGTTTTTAATAAATTCCTTCTTACCATTAACTTTTGTTATTCATGACTGTGAAAGCTTAACTTCTCTATTGGCTTATATTCAAAATATTCAAAAAGAACATCCTCTCAGATATTTTATCCTAACAGCCAGGATTTGGTTCATGGTCAAGTAGGCAGTGGCTATACTTGAGGCAGAACTTAGAAGTTACCATGAGAGTATTGTCTCTGGGAACCTTCTCTACAGTCCCCTTTTTACAAAGCAGAGGTCAGTCTGGTGATCGGAATTCTAGAGCTCTTATTTTTTGGAGCCTTAAGTAATTCTCAGTTGAAAAAAATCTCCCAGTCATGGTTTTATGGGTGTAGTGTTGTTTGTTTGTTTCTATTCCCATCTTTAACATCATTAAACTTTATAAAATTGTTTTATAGTCATGATGCCATTGAACATTTGTTTTTTGCTATGTTTTAGTCGTGATGTAAGCAGAGAAAGTTCTGTACTGGGTCTCTGACCAATAAATACTTATTTTTGATGTTATTTATGATGATAATGATTACGATGATAATGTCTTGGCAGACAAGAAATCATTTCTCCAGTACCCGGGAAGAAATGGGAGAACTTAAGAGAAGGATGAAAGAAGCTCCCCAAACATGCAAACTGCCAGGACAGCCAACCATTGAAGGCTATCTTTATACGCAAGAAAAATGTATGTAGAAATACAGGGTTACCTACTGGGTTTCAGTAGGCTGGTGCCTACTGCCACTTAGCTTTTTTGAACTCCAGGCACCCATGTTGCTCACAGACTCTTGGCAGCTACAACTCTTTGGAGAACATTCTGGGAATAGTGAAAATAAAAGGAAGGAGATCCCATAAGATAGATCATAAAAGAGCACAATGCTCAAGGCAGACATTCTTTACTAGTTAAGATAAAGTATTGTTTGGTTTTAAGAAGACTTCAGGGGATATTTTTGGTTTAAGGATTAAAGAATCTTTCAGGGCAATAGTTTTGGGGTTCATCAGCCTCTATGGCTCCAGAAAGTCTGAACTCCATGAGAATTTGAAATTCTGTTCTGCATTTTCCTCCTTTTGACCAGGATTCTTCTATAGAATCATTGATCAAAATGTTTAGTAATGGTATCCAGGCACCATCCGGTTCCTCTGGTCTCATGGCAAAGGAGACAGTTGTTCATGGAGCCAATTAGCCACACAATCCATTTCCTGTTCCTTACTCTCCCTTCTTCCTCTGTTGCTCCAGGCAAATAGAGACCAGTTGTTGTGCCTTCAAAGCTTTTAAGACCACAGGCACAACTCAGTGAACTAGGAAGTAGAACAGATTGACAACAGCAACTCGAAAGATGAGATAGGAACCTTAGGGGGCCATGAATTTATGTTAATTGGAGAGGAATAACTCAGAAAAGAAGGGTGAGGAAGGTTGCACAATTCAAAGAATGTAATCAGTGTCACTGAATTGTACATGTAGAAACTGTTGAATTGGTGTATGTTCTGCTGTGTATATTCTCAACAACGACAAAAAATAAAATAAAATAAATTATTTAAAAAAGGAAGGTTAAATTGGAGGGGAGGCCAAGGATTTGTCTTACAAAAGCTCTGAGGTGATAACAACTTCTCTGAAATTCAAAATGGGGACTGGATTGAAAAGGAGGTAGGAGAAAGGAGATAGGCAAATACCTAGTATATGCTAGACATGGTGCTAGGTGCTTTAAATTCACTATCCTATTTAATTTTTGAAACTACCTTATCATATCCATTTTACACATGAGGCCACTGAGGCTCAGAGAAGGCCGATTATCAATTGAAAGTCACTCAACTAACAAGTGGCAGGCTTAAGATTAAACTCAGGTTTGTGAGATGCCAAAAACCATGTGCCTACCACTATACCCTATACCTTCCACTGCCTTAGGATCACATGGTTGCTCTTAAAGCACTTAATGATTCTCCATGATTTCAGTGGATATGGCACACTAGTGTTTGTTGTTCATTGCTAACCAAGAAAAATGGGTTAACTCATCCAGTCATTGAATATTTCAGAGGATTCAAGCCATTCATATCTCCTAAATAACATTATACAAACCCTTATGTGCTATTTGATTTTCCTTTTTGCACTGTGACCCAATGCCTCCATACCCTCAGTAAGACAGAGCAGATATGGAAAGCACTGTGCCCATGATAAAAGTTAAGATCTCCATATGCGTAGTAGGCAGGTGGCTATGTAGAGCTGAGGCTTAGGGGAAGGGCAGGGTTGGATCTGGAGGATGACTGTGAAGAACAAGTTATACACAGCTTCTTAGGGGTGGACTGACGACATAGCCAAAAAATTTTATTCTGTCAGCTCACTTCTGCCTGTCTTTGTAGGGGCTTTGGGAATATCCTGGATGAAATATTACTGCCAGTATGAGAAAGAGACCAAGACTCTCACCATGATGCCTATGGAGCAGAAGCCAGGTGCTAAGCAGGTCAGTTTTTGTGTGTGGCAGTATCTCAGAAAATAATTTGTGTTGACACTGTGATGCCTATGGAGCAGAAGCCAGGTGCTAAGCAGGTCAGTTTTTGTGTGTGGCAGTATCTCAGAAAATAATTTATGTTGACTTAGTGTCAGATAATCAAGTCCATCACTGTCAATGAAGCCATGACTTTATATGTTCTCCTTGGCATAACTTTGCTTTGAGCCAGATACTACTTAGCTGAGTGTAAAAGCTCCCTGTTAATTATATCAGGCCTTCTGCAAGTGCCTGTACTCTTTCAGACCATTTATTAAATTACTGTAAGTACCTGTCACATTGTACAAAGATTATATGCAAAAATATGGATGAATTGGGGGAGGAGAGTATTACTTGCTTTTAAGAAGGTTCTACTTTAGAATTTCTTTAAGTAGGAAGAATTTAAAATATGATTCAGTTTCCAAAAATTCATTTTTTTAAAGGAGTACATCTATTATGTAAAGTTAGAATCACCTATACCCCACATTGCACGTAATACTGCAACGCCTTTAAGCAGTTAATACCTCTTTTCTGCCCTCCAAACCTTCCCCACTCCCAAAAAAGGCAAGATAAGTTTAACACACTGAGAAGATAGTTTACTATCTTCTGATTGTCAGACAAACTGTTCATATTCTAAAGTAGCTAAATGTGTTTCTTTCCCCTTTAACTGACTCTCAGATGGGGTCTTAAGGCATGAATTTCAAGGATTTCCACTCTATGAATTGTTTGTTGATAGCACTTCAAGGCCCACTTCTTAGCAGTGAAAGTAGTAGTTTTGTGAAGACCTAATTTAGGTAGGCAGAAATTTGGAGAAAAATTGGGGCAATTTCCCTCCATTTTTTGGTGCTTTCCGTGGAAGATCTCTCTTGTGTGGCTTGTTCATATGAAATTAGAGAGAACTGAGATTTGGTGGCAGGCTGTTGAAAACTTTTTTTTTTTATTCTTTAACCACAGTATTTGCCACTCTGCCTTGAGTGTGAGTTGGAGATGGGATTCACCTCTAGTGAAATATACCAAATGGGGCTTGTTACTCTTTCAAGACTCCAAAACCCTCCTTAGTTTCTAGTCTGTCAGTTACCAAAGTACCTTTCACTGTGGTGCCAATAAATTCATCTTGTGCTGCAGCACAGAATTTGTTCCAGTTGAGTCAGAACTTAGCTGACTTATATGACTGGCAAGTGTTTACAAACAACACTGGTCTTCAGTCTCTTCCTCTTATTTTCCACACAAATTATTTCCCAAATCCCAGACTTTAAAATTACTGTTTTAGGCAGTAAGCTTATTTAGGCCCTTTTTCTCCTGCTCAGATCTGCTCACTGCAAAGCCCGAGACAGGGGCAACAGACACTACTTTCATATCCTCTTAGCAGATGAGGGAGCCTTGGTGGCACAGTGGTTAAGAACTCAGGCTGCTAACCAACAGGTTGGCAGTTTGAATCCCCCAGCCGCTCCTTGGAAACCCTATGGGGCAGTTCTTCTCTGTCTTATAGGGTTGCTATGAGTCAGAATTGACTCTGCAATGGGTTTGATTTTTGGTTTTGGTTTAGCAGATGAGAACAAACCCTCCATTTTGTTTTTCTTTCCCTCCTCCCTTTTCACTGAGTGGCTGCTTGCAAAACTACAATACCATCAGCCTAAGCAGTTTTGATACGTGATTTCTTATGGAATGAAAAGATGAACTTGGTTCTACATTGAGGAGAGGGGGAAAGTAGAAGTAGTTACTTGAATTTCCCCAAATGGGAGTTGGAAATGATTTCTTCTTGTCGATTATCTGACTCAGTTCTTAGTACTAATTTGTGTTTTAGAAATATAATAAAACAAATGATACTATAACAATAATAGTACTAGTGGCTTTTATGGTGCTATTGTTATTATGTTGCTGTTCTTAGGTGCCATCGAGTGGGTTCTGACTCATAGCGACCCTATGTACAACAGAAGGAAACACTGCCGGGTTCTGGGCCATCCTCACAATTGTTGTTATGCTTGAGCCCTTTGTTGCAGCCACTGTTGCAATCCATCTTATTGAGAGTCTTCCTCTTTTTCCTTGACCCTCTACTTTACCAAGCATGATGTCCTTCTCCAGAGACTGGTACCTCCTGATAACATGTCCAAAGTACATGAGACACAGTCTCGCCATCCTGGCTTCTAAGGAGCGTTCTGGCTGTACTTCTTCCGGGACAGATTTCTTCGTTCTTCTGGCAGTCCATTCAATATTCTTTACTAGCACCATAATTCAAAGGTGTCAATTTTTCTTCGGTCTTCCTTATTCATTGTCCAGTTTTTGCTTGTATATGAGGCGATTGAAAATACCATAGCTTGGGTCAGGTGCATCTTAGTCCTCAAAGTGATATCTTTGCTTTTTAACACTTTAAAGAGGTCTTTTGCAGCATATTTGCCCAGTGCAATAGGTCGTTTAATTTCTTGACTGCTGCTTCCATGGGCATTGATTGTGGATCCAAGTAAAATGAAATCCTTGACAACTTCAATCTCTTCTCCATTTATCATGATGTTGCTTATTGGTCCAGTTGTGAGGATTTTTGTTTTCTTTATGTTTAGATGTAATCCATACTTTGATCTTCATCAGTAAGTGCTTCAAGTCCTCTTCGCTTTCAGCAAGCAAGTTTGTGTCATCTGCATAAAGCAGATTGTTAATCAGTCTTCCTCATTAACAACAAGAACATTGCCATGTTCTTCTTCATAGGGTCCAGCTTCTGGGATTATTTGCTCAGCATACAGATTGAATAAGTATGGTGAAAGGATCATTTCTTTTTATCATTTATGTTTCTAAAATGCAAACTAGTACTAGGAACTGAGCCAGAGCACCATAAAAGCCACCATTTATTGAACAAGGAGGTCTGATGGCTCAACAGTAAAGCACTCAGCTGCCAACCAGAAGGTTGGCAGTTTTAATCCACCCAGCCACTCCACAGGAGAAAGACCTAGTGATCTGCTCCCATAAAGATTACAGCCAAGAAAATCCTGTTGGACAGTTTTGCTATATCACATGGGGTCACTACAAGTTGAAAAACGACACGATAGCACCTAACAACAACAATACTTTTTGAATGTCTGCTGTGTGCCAGGCACTGAGCTGGAGACTTTACGTCATTGCCTCATTTACTCTCCCAGCAAGTATGCAAAATATCATTTTCCCAGTTTGAAAATGGAGGAATTTTCCCTCTTTCTGTCTGTGGCACTTTTTTTGTTAGTGTTTCCTACAGAGTTCAGCCTGTCTACTCCCATTTATATTGTGCTGTTCATCTCACAGAGCACTTTCCCAAACACTGTTTTACTATCCTCATCCCTCCCCTGTAAGGCATTTGTGGTAAGAGGGAAGAGTCCTGCATTTTGAGTCTCAAGGACTGGGTTTAAATCCTAGCTCTGTGGCCTAGTAGCTTTTTGGCATTAAGTAAATTACTTAATCTTGCTCAGTCTATTTCTTCATCTGAAAGGTGGCACAGATGATAATAATCTGGTTCATAAACATTTATTGAATTTCCTCAACTGAAATGTGGCTCAGATGAATATCTGGTTCATAAACATTTATTGAGCACTACCTATTTGCTAGTGTTAAAAGCAAAACAGAGTTTCTGTAAAATAAGAGTTTTATTCAGAATCAAAGATTTGCAAATTGGGAAGTGCCAAAGTGGAAGTTCAAAATGACATTCCTAAGATGAGGCATAAGTGCATGTCTTTGATACTCAGTTTTGCAGAACTTTGTACACAGTTGAGAAGAGTACGAGAGTACATTTGATTGGTTGACGTTCAACACGCTCTCCTAAGACTCATTTATCAAGAATTTCTATTGGCTAGGGTACTCCACCTTAGCTACAGTTTCTTGCATTCCAGAGCTGGTTCCTTCTGTGTTCTGCAATGTTCTGGGTGTGGTCAAAAGTGTGGTCATGGGTCACACACTCTAAAAAGCAGAAGCAGGGGCATAGGACAAGGTAGAGTCTGATTCAGACCTGTGTCAGCCATTTTAGTTATGTCAAGCGCCTCAGTTTTAGAGTGCTCTTCTACACTAGGTACTAGACATATAATGATGAATAAGACACTGCCCATGTCCTTGAGGAGTCCTCAGTCAAGTGGAGAAATCAGACATGAAAACGGGAAATTTTACTATAATGCGGAGAGCACATAATGGGAAATACATGGGCTTAGGGTAATGCGAATGGTTACGTGCTGGGCTACTAATCAAAAGGTTGGCAGTTCAAATCCTCCCAGAAGCACCTTAGGAGAAAGGCCTGGCGATCTATTTCTGAAAAATTAACCCTACGTGTTGTTTTACTCTGACACACATGGAGTCACCATGAGTCGAAATCAGCTCGGGAAGGAATGTGGAGGAAATGAAAGCTGAGCTGTATTTTGTAGAACAAGTAAGAGTTTAGCCAGTCAAAGAACATAGGGAAAGCCATTTTGGGTGGACGGAACAGTATATGCAAAGTCATGGAGTCAATAAAAGAGTGTGTGTGAGAAATAAGAGTACTTCTATACTGCTGGGGCATAAGCAGATGGGAAATGACTGAAGATGAGGCTGGAGTTGTGGGCAGCTCTTGAGCTGTTATGCCACCAATACTGAGGGAGGTGAGGGTTTAAAGAGGCAGGGTGAGTATATGACACTGTTAATAACTCTCTTCTTGAAAGACTGTAGCAAAGCAATGCTCATTATCCCAAGTATTGGGGTCGGTAAGGCAGATTGGAGGATTAATTTTGGGTTTGGTTTTTATAGTGCAAGAGCAGCAAAAGGAGAGAGGTATTGGACAATTAACCATATGGGCCAGTTTGGATGGCAAAGTGTCTGAAAGTGCTTAGCATGGTTCCCAGGCAGAGAGCTGGCACCCAGGAAATGTTTTTGAGTTTGAGACCTTAGGGTTGGTAGTATTATCTATCCCCTTTTAATAGATTGCAAAGTTAAGACTCAGAGAGGGAAAATGATTTGCTCAGGGTCACATAGTTGTAAATGACATAAGTGAGACAAACCAAAAACCAAATCAGTTGCTGTTGAGTTGACTCCAACTCATGGCGACCCCATGTATGTCAGAGTAGAACTGCACTCCACAGGATTTTCAGTGGCTGATTTTTCTAAAGCAGATTGCCAAACCTTTCTTCCGAGGTGCCTCTAGGTAGACTCGAACCTCCAACCTTTTTGTTAGCAGCCACATGTTAACCGTTTGCACCACACAGGGACTCCTAACTGAGACAAAACCCCAGGTTTTAAAGCTTCCTAGTTTATTGCTTCCTAGTTTATTGCTGGAGCCCTGGTGGCATAGTGGTTAGAAGCTCAACAGTTCAAATCCACCAGCTGCTTCTTGGAAACCCTGTGGGGAAGTTCTACTCTGTCCTATAGGGTTGCTATGAGTTGGAACCTACTCGACGGCACCCAACAACAGCAACAACAGTTTATTGCTAATTCCGTTATACCAACTTGGGTGACCTTGGGCAAATTATTTTACCCCTCTGAGCTTCACTTTCCTCTAAGGATTGTTGTGAAGAAAGTTAGTTTAACAAATGCCTAGTGTAATATGTGATGCATAGTACATGATGAATAAATGTTACTTCTCTTACCTGTACTACATTGTCTCTGTTGAGATAATAGAGAAAAACTGAACAATATGGGACCGGGGAATTTTAATCTATGGAGAAAGTGGATTTTAAGTGACCTTGTTAAGTGCACACAAGGCTGAGGTGGGCCACAGTATTCTCCAGATATGAAATATCAAACGTCAGCTTATACAAATTTGCTTATTTCCACTATACCTGCCCCACCTTAAGAGAGATTGCTTTAGCGATTCTTGTCATCCTCAAGAATGTGGGGGTGGGCAACAAAAATGTTTGTCTTCCCTCCTCCATCTGCCACTTTAATGGAAGCCTCTTTGCTCAAATTCCCTCTGACTTTCTAAGGAAGGCTACAAAAAGCCACTTACCCTGTTATAACCTCCGTACTTAGAAAACTCATGAAAATTTTATTGTGCATGCTTAACGTCATTTGGGCAGCCCATTTCTGCTTCACTTCCCTGAGATAACGTATATTGAGCTTCCTACTTATTCTGCCTCATTTGAGAAAGAACACTGGTCTACCTGAGTACTTTCTCTTGGTCTCAGCCATTGCTTTTTGAAGCAGGGATAAACCATCTGCCATCTTGCTGGAAGTACTCTTTTAAGGGACAAGGTTCTCAGTGAGCCTACACATTGCTCCTGCTGCCTTGATAGATGCCTTCCAAGTTGCAATGAGAACACCACAAGAGGCAGAAGAAACTTCTGTGCATTTTTTTTTTCAAATTGACTATTATTCCTTCTCTTGTATCAGGGGCCCTTGGACTTCACCCTGAAGTACTGTGTGAGAAGGAAGACAGAGTCTATCGACAAGAGGTTCTGTTTTGACATAGAAACTAATGAAAGGTAAGCTGGGCTGGTGTGAATTGTCAGGGTCCACAAGTGCCAGATGCTGAGCCTAGCTAGGTCTTTTATTTTCCTCTGTCATCACTTGTTGATGAACAGGAGCAATTCTGTTCAAGACATCGTTATATTGGCTCTCTTGGCTGCTCTTCACAGGGATCCCTGTTAGGCCTGGCTCAGAGCTGATTCTCTCTGTGCAAGTTTTAGTTAGCCTTGCCTCACCTGCGAGGAGCCCCGGTGACACAGTGGTTAAAGCACTCAGCTATGAACTGAAAGGATGGCGGTTCAAACCCACCAGCCACTCCGTGGGAGGAAGATGTAGCAGTCTGCTTCCATAAAGATTACAGCCTTGGAAACCCCATGGGGCCGTTCTACTCTGTCCTGTAGGGTTGCTATGAGTCGGAATTGACTCCACAGCAACAGGTTTTTTGTTTTTTGGTGCCACACCTGCTCTGGCTATAAAAAGTCATTTCTAGGATTGAATTTTCTGTCAGATATGCAAATGGTTAGCATTTGGTGATGCTGCAAATAAGATGGAATAGCAAAGTTCTCTCTTTTTTTATCTATTAATATAACAGAAAAGAACAAGTGAATTGGTATACATTTTGAGGGGAGGGCAGATAGGGTAGAGGGTGATGGTGGTATTAGGGAGTCTTTATTACTCCAGTTTATGCAAACATGATGCAGACTTCCCATACTTTATAGCTATTTATGTGAACTGGAAATAGTTTAACCTTCAGATATTAGAGCTGTGGCTTTCAGATTTTGGACTTAGTTGCATTTGTTTCTCTCCCGTACCCCCGGTTTTTTTTCTGAACTTGAGCAATTTTATCAGAGGGAAACTTAACCTTTAAATTTTAAAATGAGAGCGTTTGGAGTTATTCTGGGGAAAGACATGCCTTGTAGTTGAGAGGTTGATCCAAAATTCAGTGATTAAACGTGTTTCTAGATTTTATTTCAGTCTATTACTTCTGTTATTAGGTATTGAGTAATAGAACAGATTTTAGCAATATGATCAGATTGCTAGAAAGGCACTTGAAGGGTGAATTACAATATTATGTGAACAAAAGCTATTAGTGACGGGGATCATAAAGATCAGATTAAGAGATGAGGATTTTTTTTTTGTTCGGGAATAAGTAACTATTAGTCTGTTTCCCCATTTTAAAAATTGGGATATCATTATTTGACCCTCAGAATTTTTGTTTGTGAATCCAGATGACCTTCTTTGTTAAAAATGGATGCCCCCAATCAAAGATGGCTGTGATAGTAAACATTGTGTAACCATGAGACTGTCACTCATTTCCCCCGACAGCTTCAGGCTCATTAGGAAAAGGGGAATTACACTCCTGTTTACCAGAGAAAATAACCTTTGACTGTAGTTTCCCTCTCAGGAACCTTTAGTGTCTCTGGCTTTACAGTATTAAAGTGCTTAAAAGAAATTAAAATCTACTCTGATCCCTTTTCAGCTTAAATTTGCAAACTGCTTGCAAATAACACTATCATTGTTTCAATGCAGTTACAAACAGTTTGGCTGTGAGGTTATGAGCTGAGACCAATTCATCTTTGTGTTTCTTTCACCTAATGCTATGCATGTCTCATAGTAGGTACTAAATTTGGTGTTTATTGTTAAATGTAGTTTTTTTTTCTACTCCAGAATGCTGAAGAATTCTGAGACTAGAACCAAGGAATTAAAGTTTTGTTGTGTCTATGATTTTAGTTACCATATATTGGGTACTTTAAAAACATTCCCACATTTAATCCCTGCTCCTCCCATTTTATAGGTGAGGAGACTGAGACTTATACACCCACTCCTCACTTACTGACATGGTTAGGTTCCAAAGTTATGCAAAAATCAGCATTATGCAAGCATAGAGAATGACTACATTATTACATAACTGCCAAATTACATCATTACCTAACTGCCAAATCACTGAGAATCATGGCCCAGCCAAGCTGACACATAACCTTAACCATCACAGCCAGCATTACCCTTGCTTCGCGTCTCAGCATTCGTTACTGCCCGATGTATGTCGTTGATGCGCAAAATAGTCAGACAGTAGATTTTCTACTGTTGCCGTAAATGCAAAATGTCAGATAATAAGATAATTGATAAGTGAGGAATAGGTGTATGTTTATCTGACTTGCCCAAACAAATTCACATAGTAAGCAGCAAGGCTGAGCTCAGACCCTAGTCTGCAGGACTCCAATGTCCATGCTCTTTTTATTTCATTCTATTGTCTATGATAAGCAGAATAAACATATTGTGAAATAGAGCATCAAATATAATAATAAATAGGTGCTGAGGTGCCTCTCTGCACATGTGGTTATTTGAAGGATGTGATATCTGCTTTCCTGGCAAGTCAATCTGATAAAAAGAACAGAATCAGGCTGTCTGCAGGCATCAGGCATATGTCATCATATTCCCTGGAGCACAGAGCAAAGAGCTTTTTGAGTCCCCTTTCATATTTCAGAAGTAGGGATAACATTTTTCATTTAGTGCTCCTAAAAGTATTTGAAACCATAGCCTCATGGCACATCCTAGCTTGATGGCGTATAATAATAATAGTAACAACTGCTAACATTTGCTGGGTACCTCCTATGTAACAGGCACCATTTTCAGCCTTTTAAGAGTATACTGTATTTTTATGCAAACAGCACATGCCTTCTGCATTTGTTTGCCAACTGCACCTACCCCCTACAAGGTATTTTCATAAGCGCTGCTATGCCAGTTTTTTTTTTTACATGTTGCCGTAAAAATTTAGCATAGCACGCTTAGGAAAATATACTTCGCGGGGGGAGGGCGCTGTGGGCAAACAAATGTAGAAGGTACACATTATTTGCATAAAAATACAGTAACCTCCTTTAGTCCTCACCACAGTCCCATGAGGTAAGGGGTGTTATCCCTATTTCAAAAAAGAAAATAAGGAGGCAGAGAGAAGGTGAGCATCTTGTTCAGTGTTAACACAGCTGGTAGATGGTAGAGCCAGGATCCAAATCCAGGCATTCTGGTCTCCAAGCCCATACTCATAACCACTGCATTCTACTGCCGTTATGTTATACATGTCTTTTTGTCATAAAGTTAGTCAGTAGAGGAGTCTGGACTAGAAGCCAGTACTTTTTCCATTTTGTCGTCCTGTCCTTAATGATATTGTTCCTTGAATTTGACTTTCTTAGCACCCAAGAATCTCCAAATGCTTCCATAATACCTACTTCATAGGCGTATTGGTAGATTAAATGAGTTAATACATGTAAAGCTGCTAGAACAGAACCTGACACTTAGTGAGAAATTCAATAAATATTAGTAGTTATTATTAGTCTTAAGAATTTCTTAAGTCAGCCAAATAGTCTCCTTCCTGTGCCTGAGCCAGTATGCATGTTGTTAAACTCTTTCGAACTGGAAATGTTCCTTGAATATCGTAAATGGTAGAAAGAGCACAGCCATTTTCCTGATGGAGGAATGTGCTCATGATAAACATGCTCACCTCCCGAGCCCAGACCGAATGGCCAGCTCCCAAGACAAGGAGACAGGGAGAGCCTCAGTTTGGCTCAAGCACAGTGGGTCCAATTTAAGTCTGCATTATGGTGAGATGTCCTGGCATCTGCCTTCCTATTTCATTGCCTGACCCTGGCATGAGGCCACCAAGATACCACATTTCCCAGTATTCCCAAAGTTGCTGTTCTCTAAGTTGTCCGTTATCATTCTGAGTAAAGGTGATTTTGAACAACTGGAGTTCCATATACCTGTGCCTGTTTAGTGACACCTCTCAGGGCAGAGAGGAAACCTAGAACACAAGACTCCATGCTATCAGGTGAGTTTTCTGCTTTAAACTTGTCTTTTTTTTTTCCTTCCCTTAGGCCGGGAACCATCACTCTGCAAGCCCTTTCTGAAGCTAACAGAAGGCTATGGATGGAGGCCATGGATGGAAAAGAACCTGTAAGTTATCTGAGACACTGGAGAAACCTCAACAACATAGTCCAGTGTATGAGTGCCCTCTAGTGGTATCAGTGGGGTTAGGACAATTAAATAGTAAAAGATTGATCAGATGCAAAATTTTAGAACTGGAAGAATTGTTGATTCCACGTCTCTTGTTTAATCAGTGAGGCAACTTGAGTTCCAGAGAGGGTAAGGGACTTGTCTAGGATAAGCCTCACAGAAGGCATGAAATGTTGGCCTAGAATTCAGGTTTCTCAGCTCCCTGGTCTAGCATTAGACTATGTGGTTGTGTCAGTAAGATCATAAAAAAGAAAATCAAGCCTTTCTTCTGATTCTAGAATTAATATATTTTCACATAGAAGGCTGGAAAATAATTGCCATGGCTGTGAACAAGCATTTACTGAGCTTTTATTCAAAATTGTTTTGCTGCCCCCCTCTTACTCCCTCAGCTTAGTTTACTCTCTTTAAAGGTGCAGCTGGTTGAGGGCACGGCTTTGTCATTCTGTATCCCAAGAAGTACGGTTCCATTTAAAATACTATTACAGGGGAGGACAAGTGATCACTTAAAAGTGTTAGTGATTAGCATAGCAAGACCCATGTGAGCAGTCAGAGATCATTGAAAAATAGTTTTTCTTCAGTAACTTCTGGTAGGTTTCTTCCAGTGTTATATGAAGTAATTTCAACTTATATTGGAATCATAGAAGCCTGAATTTATATCCTGGCTTTGTCATTCAATGGTTGTGTGACCTCGAGCATGTCATTTTACCTCTCTGAGACTCAGTTTTCTCCTCAGTATAATGATTTAATAATCTCTGCTCGACCTACCTCACAGGGTTGTTTTGAATAACCAAGTGAAAGCCACTCTGTAAACTATAATGTGCTATATTAGTTTTAGGTATTCTTAACTGATTTGAAGGATGAGTGCAAAGCTATCAGGACTTTGAACTGGTTCAAACCATTTTAGTCATGTCTGAGGAAGTGAAATTGGAACAGACCGAAATTTTTAAAATTTGGGTGATCTGGAACCATAACTGGAATGGGAAAAATTACAAGTTGAACCCCTGCAAAGGGAGCCCTTTCAGGAGCCTGATGCATGAGACTGAATTATTGCAAGGACTAAGGAAAGCGACACACATTCAAAGTGGAGCGGTAGGCTGCCATCTCTGAGTGGGGGACTGCTATTTCCAACTTTGCGCAAAATCCAAGGGCAAGATATTTGGTTGCTATGCATGCGCATGCTGCCCTTGTTTTCTAAGAGGGAGATTAATCTTCTAGCAGGGCTTTGACCCGTAAGTTTTTCCATTCTAGTTATGGTTCTGGTTCACCCAAATTTTAAAAATTTGGGTGTGTTCTGGTATCATTTCCTTGGCAATTATTGAAGCAGGAAGAACTGGTTCAAAGCCCTGAAAGCTATTGAGACTCAACACTCTTTGGATATAGTCCCATCCCCTTGCTTTATTCAAGGCAAAAACTTGCTAAGAAGGGAAATACATTCCAGGTTTGTATTTCTGTGTGTCCTCGGTGTCCTGGAGACTGTGGAGTAGTGCCCAGATCCCTGCATGCATTTAGAGTAACAAGAAGGTAGCAGAAGAAAAGTGATGGTGTAAGGCCTGCCATCCAGAGAGTAGGCCAGCAACCCTCGCCCACCTAAACGTGGTGCTTAACTATTACACGGCTGTGACGTTTCTCTAGGAGAATGCTATGAGGATCATCAAGGCACTTATTGCTCAATTCCTTCTCCTGCACTTCGCTCTCTATTTAGGTGTTTAAAGATTTAAGGATGTAGATGGCCTTTTGTGGAGAATAATATTAGAACACTATATAATGTTTTTTATATATATATAATGTTATAACCTGTACATGGACCAAGAGGCAGTCGTTCGAACAGAACAAGGGGAGACTACGTGGGTTAAAGTCAGGAAAGCTGTACGTCAGGATTGCATCCTTTCACTGTAGTTACTCAATCTGTATGCTGCACAAATAATCCGAGAACTGGACTATATGAAGAATAACGCGACATCAGGATTGGAGGAAGACTCATTAACAACCTGTGTTATGCAGATGATAACAACCTTGCTTGCTGAAAGTGAAGAGGACTTGAAGCATGTACTGATAAAGATCAAAGACAACAGCCTTCAGTATGGATTACACCTCAACATAAAGAAAACAAAAATCCTCACAACTGGACCAATAAGCAACATCATGATAAACGGAGAAAAGATTGAAGTTGTCAAGGGTTTCATTTTACTTGGATCCACAGTCATGCCCATGGAAGCAGCAGTCAAGAAATCAAAAGACACCTTGCGTTGGGCAAATCTGCTGCAAAAGACCTCTTTAAAGTGTCGAAAAGCAAAGATGTCACCTTGAAGACTAAGGTGCACCTGACCCAAGCCATAGTGTTTTCAATCGCCTCATATGCATGTGAAAGCTGGACAATGAATAAGGAAAACCGAAGAAGAATTGATGCCTTTGAATTATGGTGTTGGCGAAGAATATTGAATATACTATGCACTGCCAGAAGAACAAACACATCTGTCTTGGAAGAAGTACAGCCAGAATGCTCATTAGAAGCAAGGATGGTGAGACTAAGTCTCATATACTTTGGACATGTTATCAGGAGGGACCAGTAATCCCTGTAGAAGAACATCATGCTTGGTAAAGTAGAGGGTCAGTGAAAAAGAGGAAGACCCTCAACAAGATGGATTGACACAGTGGCTGCAACAATGGGCTCAAGCATAACAACGATTGTGAGGATGGCGCAGGACTGGGCAGTATTTTGTTCTGTCGTACATAGGGTCACTATGAGTTGGAACCGACTCAACGACACCTAACAACAACAATAATGTTATAACATGGACCCACTGAATGTGGATCCTCACCAACTTGGTTATGGAAGACTTCATAAATCTCTTGTTTGTAAATGTGGCACCAAGAGTTAGCCAGCACAGAAATTTCTCTCACAGAAATATCAATGGGCATATACACATGTAAAAATTTTTCTTTTAAAAGGAGAGATTGTTAAAGCAAACATCTAACTGATGATTCCTGCAGCCTAATGTTACTGCTTTACTAAACTCCCCAACCACTAATTTATTTGCATCATGTGAGTGCCTTTGCTTAAAGAGTCAAAGAAGATTGGGACTTGGAGGAACATCTAGTCTAGCTCTGCTTATTTTACAGATGAGAATTTTGAGGTTTAGAGAATGGAAATGACATGCCCAAGTTTCATAATGAGGTTGAAGATGGGGCCAGGACATAGGAGAAAAATGTAGAACAGAATTCAAATTCACAAAAAAAGACAAGACTTACTGGTTTGACAGAGACTGGAGGAACCCCAAGACTATGGCCTCTGGATGCTCTACTAACTCAGAATTGAAGCCCCTCCCGAAGTCCACCTTTCAGACAAAGATTAGACAGGTCTATAAAACAAAAAATAACACACGTGAGGAATGTGCTTCTTAGTTCAATCAAATACACAGACCAAATGGACAACACCTGTCCAAAAGGAAGACGAGAAGGCAGGAAGGGGCTGGAACTAGATGAGGGACACGGGGAACCTGAGGTGAAAAGGAGGCGCATGCTGTCACATTGTGGGGATTGCAGCCAATGTCACAAAACAATATGTGTATAGATTTTTGAATGAGAAATTAACTTCTGCTGTAAATTTTCATCTAAAGCACAATAAAATTTTAAAAAAAGAGTCAAAGATTTACCCTTCAGTCTCACACATAGCTGTCTATCACAATGCATATTTCAAGACCACTGGGAGAAATCTTGGTAAATGCACGGATCTCTTTTAGATGGACACACCTTTCCACAGAGAAACCTCCATTAACTAGTCTTTGTAATGGGGAAGTTGGTATCAGGAGCATTTGTATTTCACCATGAAAGCCCTTTACCCAGATATCCATGAGAAAACTACTTCCTTTCTCTCATATTTTTGTTTCCATCATAAAAATGCTCCATGCTTTATGTAAGTAAATGTCTAAGATGAGCAGGCTACAACTTCAGCTACAGTGAGCTGTTATGAAACCCAGTGCAATTTTCCAGGGCTGTTAATCTGTTTTCTCGGAACTTGGCAATGATGATTCAAAAAATGAAGAGTTGAAAAGTGCCCAAAATGAAAAGTTTCTTCTTGTTAAAGTTCTAGAGTCTAATGGTTTTGATGGCTTATCCAGGGAAAGAGATTTTATAATATCCGCCCTATCTATCTCTAGTGATTCACAATACCCATGGTTCTTTTTGTTTCTCTTCTTTTGTAGATCTACCACAGCCCCATAACAAAACAGGAAGAAAGTGAGTCACTCAAATTTCTGTTCTGCTGACATTACAAACTGCCAACTGTCCTAATCACAGTAAATGCTATCATTAATGATGTAATATTGATGCAGGATTGTATATGGATGCCTCTAAGTGAAATGAAAATCAGATCTGCTTGTTTTAAATGTGTCTGTTGATTAAACTAAAGAAGTCACTTTATCTTAGCTTATGGTGAGGGTGGTAGTAGTAATATAAAGAAACACGTTATTATCCTTCTTCTTGTTCTGAGCATATGATAGAAATTGTGTTCGTTTCCAGGCTAGCATTTCCAATTTGATGCCTAAAGCAGACGTAAAAACAAAGGACAAGCTAAAAACATTTTTCATTATAAGAGCTAAAACTATAAACCTTCTCTGAATAAAAGGAACTTTCCTGCATTTCAGGGTGATTGGAAAAAGGGACTAAGCCCCCAGATCTCTCACTACAATCCCTTGGCATGGCCATTAAATGTTTGGTAGGTGAGGCTTGTTACAGCAGGTCTAATTCTGCTTTTCTTTGCTTGAAACAGTGGAGCTGAATGAAATGGGGTTCAAGTTTGTTAGAAAGTGCATCAATGTCATTGAGGCCAAAGGTAAGAGCTTTTGAATCTGGTCACTCTAATTTTATCCTGGGGCAGTTTTTCTAAAGTAGCAATGATATCATCTATTGGGCAGGACTCATGTTAGGAATGTACACTATTTATAAATCTTCAGCACTAGACACAATTTGTACACTTCTGGAAAATTCTAAGCAAGTGGTATCTAATCATATTTAGATAATTTGTAGTTCCCTGCTTTCAAGGAGTAAGAGCTTCAAATTGCTTGTAAAGAATTCTAAAATAGTACCTGCACTCCTCAAGCAGCGTTTTGATGGTTCCATCCTAAATAAGAGTCCAATTTCTGCTACAATACATATTGGTTTGAAAATTGATGGAGCAAAGCTAAACTCAGGCAAATGTGGAGCCAGCATTTTTCTAAGTTGACAGTACTTCCTAGTTTCCCTCTGAGGACATTTGGAATGTGGGCAGGTATAATGTATGAGCCAAGCCTCTTTTTTTCTTAAAAATATTGCCTCCATCTTTTTCAGCACATGAAATAACCTTTTCCTTCACATCGCCATACTCAGCCCTCTCCTCCTTTATACTACTGCTCAAGGGCAACCTGAAGGTTGATACTTCCTTTGGAAAACCTTTTCATTTAAATTCTAGCTCCTTTTCAATGTGGCAGCATCATTCTCAGCCATCTGTTGCTATCCATTTAAGCATAACTTTTCTATTTACTGTAGAGTGTATTCTCTGTGTTCAGATTAATGAGTGTCTGGTACAACCCAAATGGAAGTATGGCTAATTTGGAGAGATGCCTGTTGCAGGCAAGGACTGGAAAGATTGAAGAGAGTGAGCTGACCCCTTCCTGTGTGAACTGATTCCAGTGTATAAGTACCTGCTTTCTCTACCCTGGGGAGATGAATGGGGAGATGAAAGCTCCCTATAAACAAAACTGACCTAACTTTCTTTCCCTAGGGATCAAGACAGAGGGGCTGTACCGCACCGTGGGCAGCAATATTCAGGTTCAGAAGCTGCTGAATGCCTTTTTTGGTAATAATTTTACCTTCATAATTCTTATTGGGAGGAGGGTATGTCTTAGAAAGACATTTGACTCAAAGGGAAAGGAGACATTGGAATATCTTTTTTTGTTTTGTTTTGTTTTGTTTTTTCTTTTTTTTACAGTGTTGTGCAACAATCACCACTGTCTATTTCCAAAAGTTTCTATCACCCCAAACAGAAAGTCCGTACCCCTTAAGCAATAACTCCCCATTCCCCCTCTTTCCAGCCTCTGGTAACCACTAATCTACTTTTGTCTGTATGCATTTACCTATTCTATATATTTCGTATAAGTGGGGTCATAAAATATTTATCTTTTTGTGTCTGACTTATTTCACTTAATATAATGTTTTTAAAGTTAATTCATGTGGTAGCAGGTTTGCATTTCTCTTTATGGCTGAATAATAATTCACTATATGTGTGTGTGTATGTGTGTGTGTGTGTGTGTGTGTGTGTGTGTGTGTGTGTGTGTGTCTGGAGCCCTGGTGGCACAGTGGTTTAAGTTCTCTGTTGCTAACGAAAAAGTCAGCAGTTCAAGCCCACCAGCCACTTCACTGGAGAAAGATGTGGTAGTCTGCTTCCACAAAGATTTACAGCCTTGGAAACCCTATGAGGCAGTTCTCCTCTGTCCTATAGGGTTGCTATGATCAGAATTGACCGAATGGCAGTGGATTGGGTTCTTTGGGGGTGTGTGTGTGTATATATATATATATATATATATATGTATGTATACAGTGGAATATTATTTTTATTTATATATAATTCATATATATATAATTATATATAATTTTGTAGGGTGTCTTTTCACTTTCTTGATAATGCCCTTTAATACACAAATGCTTTTAATTTTGATGAGGTCCAATTTATCTTTTTGTTGTTGTTTCTTGTGCATTTGGTGTCTTATCTAAGAATTTATTGACAAAAACAAGGTCCTGAAGCTTTACCCCTATGTTTTCTTCTAAGAGTTTTATGGTTTTAGCTCTTATATTTCAGTCATTGATCCATGTTAAGGTTAATTTTTGCATAATTTATAACTTTAAATTATATATATATATATATATATATAGGAGTTACTGGGTGGCACAGATGGTTAAGTGCTCACCTAGTAACCAAAAAATTGACGGTTCCAGTCCACCCAGAGGTGCCTTGGAAGAAAGTCCTGGCGATCTATTTCTGAAAGGTCACAGTCCTTGAAAACCCTATGGAGCACAGTTCTACTCTGAAATACATGAGGTCTCCATGAGTCAGAACTGACTCAATGGCAACTGGTTTGGAGTCCTTGGGTGGTGTAAACAGTTAACATGCTTGGATGCTAACTGAAGAATGCTGTGATTGCTATTTTAAGTCAGATTTGACAGTGGCAACTGCCGTAACTGAATTAAGACACCTTAACTACAGTGGGGCTGACTGGACACCGTGGTGGTAGGAGCCAAGTGGTGGCACTCAGTCAACAAAGACAAGGTGGGTGTGGTTGCCGTAACGGACAGCAGAGTCAAAGCAGTAATCAGAATAGTCTGACTCAAATGGACTTGTGACATTGCCTGCTTAGTTATGGTACCCCTATGACTTAAATAGATAGGAAATCTACTAAATATTTACTTGATCTGTACAAGCAGAATAATTCTAGGTCAAGTGAACAGCAGTCTAACTCTAATCACCAGAATAGAGAATCACAGCACCTCAATCAATTCTCAGATTTTGAGCCAGTTTACAGACCCATAACCACTTGAATGAAGGGGACAGTAGATCCCCTTGAGAAAGGACCCCACTATACTGCCAAACATTTATACCGTTAACCTTTCTCCCAGCCTTCCTCAAGGGGATCTATGACCTTTTATGGGAGTAACTGTTCACTAGGGAAAAGGAAATAATCAGATTTTTGGGAGATTACTGGATACTGGCTCTAAATTGACACTAATTTCAGGAGACCCAAAATGTCATTGTGGCCCACCTGTCAGAATGGCAGCATATGGAAATCAGGTTATTAATGGAGTCTTAGCTCAGGTTCATCTCACAGTGTGTCCAGTGGGTCCCCGAACCCATCCCGTAGTGATTTCCCCAGTTCCAGAATACATAATTGGAACAGATAAAGTTTTTAACTAGGAGAACCCCCACGCTGGATTTCTGACAAGTGGAACAAGTGCTTTTATGGTAGGAGAAGCCAACTGGAAGCCATTCTAACTGCTCATACCTAGGAAAATAGTAAACCAGAAGCGATACCACATTCCTGGATGGATTATAGAGATTACTGCCACCATCAAGGACATGAAGGATATAGGGGTGGTGATTCCCACCACATCCCCATTCAACTTGCCTGTTTGGCCTTTGCAAAAAACAGATTTTGTAGAATGACAGTGGATTATTGAAAACTTAACCAGGTGTTGACTCCAATTGCAGCTCCTGTTGCGGATGTGGTTTCATTGCTTGATCAAATTAATACATCTCCTGGTACCTGGTATGCAGCTATTGATCTGGCCAATGTCTTTTTCTTGATTCCAGTTTTGAAGGAACACCAGAAGCAGTTTGCCTTCAGCTGGCAAGGCCAGCAATATACCTTCACTGTCCTGCCTCAGTGGTATATTAACTCTCCAGCCCTACGTCATAATTTAGTCTGCAGGGACTTTGATCACCTTTCCGTTCCACAAGACATCACCCTGGTCCGTTACATTAATGTCCATGACATTATTCTGATTGCACCTAGTAAGGAAGAAGCATCAATGACTCTGGAGTTACTGGTAAAACATATGTGTGCTAGAAGATGGGAAATGAATCCCACAAAAATTCAGGTGCCTTCCACTTCAGTGAAATTTCTAGCAGTCCAGTGGTATGTAGCATGTAGTATGTAGCAAGTTGTTACACCTGGCCTCTCCTACAACTAAAAAGGAGGCACAATGCCTGGTGGGCCTCTTTGGATTTTGGAGGCAACATATCCCTCATTTGAGTGTGCTACTCAAAAAGCTGGAGCCCTGGTGGTGCAGTGGTTAAGAGCTTGGCTGCTAACCAAAAGATCAGCGGTTCGAATCCACCAGTCACTCCTTAGAAACCCTATGGGGCAGTTCTACTGTGTCCTATAGGGTTATTGTGAGTTGGAATCAGCTTGACAGCAACAGATTTGGTTTGGTTTTTTTGGTACTTGAAAAGCTTCTAGTTCTGGGTGGGACCCAGAACAAGAGAAGGCTCTGCAACAGGTTCAGGCTTTCGTGCAAGCCGCTCTGCCACTTGGACCATATGATCCAGCTGATACAATGGTGTCTGAAGTGTCAGTGGCAGATAGAGATGCTGTTTGGAGCCTTTGACAGGCCCCTGTTCGTGAATCACAACGCTACCCTTAGGATTTGGAGTAAAGCCCTGCCATCCTCTGCAGATAACTATTCTCCTTTTAAGAAACAGCTTTTGCCTTGTTACTGGGCCTTAGCAGAGACTGAACACTTAACCATGAGTCACCAAGTCACCATGAGGCCTGAGCTGTCCATCATGAACTGGGTGTTGTTTGACCCACAGAGTCATAAAGTTGGACGTGCACAGCACGTCATTAAATGGAAGATATATATATGAGATCGTCCCCAGGCAGGACCTGAAAACACAAGTAAGTTGCATGAGGAATTGGCCCCAATGCCCATGGTCTCCACTCCTGTCACATTACCTACCCTCTCCCAGTGTGCACCTGTGGACTCATAGGGAGTTCCTTATGATCAGTTGACTGAAGAGAACACTCCTGCCTGGTTTACAGATGGTTCTGTTCGATGTGCAGACACCACTCAAAAATGGACAGCAGCAGCACTACAGCCCCTTTCTGGGACCTCCCTGAAGGACAGTGGTGAAGGGAAATCCTCCCAATGGGCAAAAGTTCAAGCAGTGCACCTGGTTGTTCACTTCGCTTGGGAGGAGAAATGGCCAGATGTGCTATTGTATACTGATTCATGAGCTGTGGCCAGTGGTTTGGTTTGATGGTCAGGGACTTGGCAAGAACATGACTGGATAATTAGAGACAAGGAGGTATGGGGAAGAGGTATGTGGATAGACCTCTCTGAATGGGCCAAAGAAGTGAAGATGTTTGTGTCTCATGTGAATGCCCACCAAAAGGTGACCTAAGCAGAAGAGGATTTTAACAATCAAGTAGATAGGATGACACATTCCTTTTAAACCAGTCATCCTCTTTCCCCAGCCACTCTTTCTTTGCCTAATGGGCTTATGAAAAAGTGGCCATGGTGGCAGGGATGGAGGTTATGCATGGGCTCAGCAACATGGACTTCCACTCACCAAGGCCAGCTTGTCTACAGCCACTGCTGAGTGCCCAGTCTGCCAGCAGCAGAGACCAACACTGAGTCTCCGATACGCCAACATTCCTCGAGGTGATCAGCCAGCAACCTGATGGCTGGTTGATTTCATTGGACTGCTTTCACCATGGAAAGGGCAGCGTTTCATGCTTACTGGAACAGACACTTACCCTAGATATGGATTTGCCATCCCTGCATGAAATGCTTCTGCCGAAACTACCATCCGTGGACTCACAGAATGCCTTATCCACCGTCATGGTATCCCTCACAGCATTTCTTCCGACCAAGGGACTCACTTCACAGCAAATGAAGCACGGCAGTGGGCCCATGCTCATAGAATTCACTGGTCTTACCATATTGCCCATCATCCTGAAGCAGCTGACTTGATAGAACAATGAAATGACCTCCTGAAGACACAATTACGGCACCAGCTAGGTGGCAGTACTTTGCGAGGTTGGGGCAGTGTTCTCTAGGAGGCTGTATATGCTCAAAACCAGAGTCCAGTATATAGTGCTCTTTCTATCATAGCCAGTATTCACGATTCCAGGCATCAGGGGGTGGAAATGGGAGTTATTTCCCCTAGTGACCCACTTGCAGATTTTTTGTTTCCTGTCCCTGCGGCCCTATGCTCTGCGGGTCTAGCGGTCTTAGTTCCAAAGGGAGGAATGCCCCTATCTGGAGACACTGTACGGATTACATTGAAGTAGAAGTTAAGAA